CTATTTTCCTTTCTTATAGAATAATAAGAATTATTCTTCTTTTTTTTTTTTTTTTTTTTGTTGAAATTCATATCTCACATATATATGAATTTTATATTAAATTTTATATTCTTATATTTTATTTTATATTCTTATATAGTTTTTGGCTACACATAAATATATTTTTTCTAATTTCAGGTGCTAGACGTGATGCAGATGGTTATTTCTGGATAACGGGCCGTATTGATGACATGTTAAATGTTTCTGGCCATCTTATGTCTACAGCGGAAGTAGAAAATATATTAACGGAACATTCTTCAGTAGCTGAAGCTGCAGCAGTTAGTAAGCCTCATTCTATAAAAGGACAATGCCTTTATTGTTTTATTACACCTAATGAAGGTGTTAAATTTGACAAAAAACTTCAAGATGAATTAAAAAATAAAGGTAATTATAAATACATAATAAAATATATAAATAAATAGATAATTTAAAACATCGTTATTATGAAATTTCGTAAATTTTTAATAAAATTTTTTTATATACAATATATAAATTATAAATATAATATATTATATATTTGTTGTAAAATTAGTAATTAAATTTATTAGTTCAAATTAAAATTAATAATTTGAATATATCAACAGTAAGAGAACAAATCGGCCCTTTCGCTCAACCGGATATAATTCAACTTGCTCCAGGACTGCCAAAAACTCGATCAGGAAAAATTATGAGACGTGTACTTAGAAAAATCGCAGCAGGAGATAGAAATGTTGGCGATATATCAACATTAGCTGATGAGAGCATTGTCAATATTCTTTTCGAGTTAAGGCCACAAATTTAAATCAAGTTCAAATTAATGTAGCAATTTTCAATGGAAACGTAGTAGTTTAGAAATGTATGATAATATCAATGATCGATAAATAATTGATATATAAAATTTTCAATTTATAATTCTTGCAAAAAGTAATATGAGAAATGCATATTAAAATTTAGTGAAATGTATAATTTATCAAGAAAAAAAAGAAAAAACAATTTTTAATAACAAAAAATAATTTAAACAATTTCTAAGAATAAGATTTTTATTTTATATGTTAGGATCTTTTTTCTTTTATTAATAATTATTTATAATACTATTTATGAATTATTTCATAGTCAATTATTATACAATAATTATATAAATATTGTACAAATATTATTTTTAATCGAATTTCGTCGGTATATATATTGTTCATTTGAAAGATGATAAATTATCATTTATATTACTTAAAAATGAAAAATTTATATAAAAAATTCAATTTTTCAATACTATTTTTTTATTAGTTTAAAATACAACTGGATGTTAAAATAATATGTTATAATAACATATTATAATAATATTAAAAGTTTTATGTATTTATAAAAAAAAAGTTAATTATTAAGTTATAAAATATTTTAGAATATTTGTTAAAGAGAAATTATATTAAATCTATTTAAAATTTTTCCAAAAATCAATTATAATTGTATATTAATTGTTGCATACTAGTCGATTTTCTAGCAGCAATATTTTATAAATATAAATGCATATTAAAAATCGAAAAATGTGTAACAAATGTTCATTGTTAAAAACTTTATAATATGCTCTCTAATGCATAATTTTTTAAATGATTTATAATAATTTCTCTTCATTTTTACAAATATGAAAGTAACTTGAAAACTTGAAAATTTTACAAAAACATAAATTTTAATTATATATTATATTAGTATTCCAAATTATTTAAAAACATTATGATATAAAAATTCAATTTATTAAAAAAATTTTTTTTTAAATTATAACCACTAGTAAATCATTTTTAGGTCTCATAAACTTATTTTTTTAAATCTTAAATACCTTCATATATTCATACATGTTTTAATTACTTTTTATTTCAAGATTATTATTTTTACAAAAAAAATTAATCTACAATTAAACAAAAATTTATCTACAATTAAAAGTAAAAATGGAATTATGAAAGTATTACAATTTATTACATATTCAAAAAAGGACTGTAAAAAGATTCTATTAGAAATAAGATTTTTCAGTTCATCAATTCAATTCTCAATTTTCAAGTTTTAAGAATATATTTAAAAAAAAATTATAAAAACATATAAAAATAATTATTAATTAAAAAATTTTTTTATGAGATGAAATAGAAAATTTAAGTATATGCATGATTATTAACGCACTTTGTAAAAAGGAAATTTGCATTTTCTGTAATTTTTTAGAAGGCTGGTTTTACAATTGTTACATTGTATGTAAAGTGAGTGTAATAGAGAAATTGCCTTTTAATGAAGGCATGTCACATACATATCATTCCTTGCGGAACAAAGTAACTATAGATATAATAATGATATATGTACTAAAAAAATATATATAAATTATACAAAATAATGCAAAATTTAAATGTAAATATATTCATGTTAAAAGATAAGTGAATCTTTTCTATTATTTATTTACCACTTTTTAATCTAGATTTCATTAAATTTGCAAATAAATACATATAAAATTGCCGGTAAATAACAAAAAAACAACTCAGTTATTATTATTTACGTGAAACTATTCTTATTAATTTATTCTTTTCATTTTTATATATATATTCAATTTTTTCTTTCAAATCATTTCATTCAATTAAAAAAATTTTAAATCTAAATCTATATTGCTAATATCAAAAAAAATGTACTTTATCTGCAAAACAAATTTTAAATATAAAATTGTAATTATACAATTTATAAAATTTTAAAAGCTTCAAATAAAGTATAAATAAATTTATTTCTTGTATTTTCTGTTTATTTTTTCGTTTATAATCATAATTCATGGAATTTAATTATTAAATGTGATAAACGATCAAATAATTCTTCAAATTATTTTTTTAAATTTCATCTTTTAAATATTATCAATTTTTCAGATTTAAAATCTTTCAAACGAAATAATAATTATAAAATTAATTTGATACTTTATTTATTTCCAATTTTATATTTAAAGTTTAATATATTAAAATATATTAATTATAAAATATATAAAATAATTATATATTATAAATAAATATTTCTACAAAGTCTAAGGCGCCACTGTCGCTTTTATTTATGATTCCATAACGGAAAAATAGTTTTTAGAAGTTGACAAGATGTTAAGGTTACGTCAGTTACAGTTAGACTCTAACCATTGTCACTGTGTATATGACGATATCGCTTGCGCCGGTTGAAGTGTAAATTTGTGCTTTTTTTTTTTGATTATATATTTCAAATATTTTGATAAATCATGTCAAATACTGACAAATATTACACAGCCGTTCTTCGATTAGTATTAGAAGCTGGCTCAGTAAGTAATCTTTTTTTTGATGAAATTAAAAAAATATTAGAGCAATTTATATTTTAATTTTGAATTATTCTTGATGTTAACAAGATTTTATCGATTTTTATATTTCAATTAAATTTTTATTCAATAAATATATTGTCTGTTTTATGTAGCATTTAAGAATGCAAAATGTATGATTTTAAATAAATTTTAATAATTTTAAAATTACTTCATATTTAATGTAATGTTAATTATCATGTGAAACTAATCAATGTATTGTTTCAGTTTATTTTTTTAATGTAAACGAATATTTTACATGCAATATCACATATATATATTTTTTTTTAATACCTAGAAGTGATATAATAGATAATATCATTAATTTTATAGATATAAGTATATTTGTTTTTAAGGAGATTTATCGAACTGATAAAACTTTTATTATACGCTACGTACAATGATAATTCAATACGATTTCTATACATAACCTATAATTTTTAATAATTTGTTTTCATAGATCATAATTCAAAAAAATTAATTTATACAGTGTAAAAATTTGAATATTAAAATAATTTCTAAATATAATATTATATGTAAAATATATTATTAAGAATTGAATAATTTAATTAACTATTGAATAATAATTGATGAAACATTGATAAATCAAATTTTCTAAAAATTTTTTTCTTGATTATTTAATGAGGTTTTTTTAAATATCTAACACTTTTGCAATAAAAATGTTTCTTATAAAAATGAATGAATTAAATGGATTTATTATAATTATTATATTTATGTATAATTTTTTCAAATACATAACAAATATATCACGTATGTATATCGATATAATAATTAATATAATCAATATAATTATCTTAATAAATACTTTTATAACAATTGTTATTTATTTAATATTTTGTTGTTAACACTACTTAAACTTGATGCGAAAAATTGTAATTATATTTTAATTGTGACTCTTATAGATTGTGAGAGAAAAAATTAATCAACCTAAGGATGCAATGACAAAATCCTGTGAAGTCGATCTTGTTACCGAATGGGATCAAAATGTTGAAAAATTATTAATAGAAGGAATATCTTCTAAATTTCCAGATCATAAGTACGGTTTATAATATTTAATCATTTAATTATTTCATCTTTTATTCCATTTTTTGCAAAAAAAATTAAATAAGTAAATATTATTTACATATAGTACGTATGTGTGTTATATATTTTTTAAACTATTCGAATTAAGTTTGAAAAATGTTTACGATATAAATTATACAAATTATAATATAAATATTAATATTTTTTAAATTTTTAAATTTAATTATTTAATCATTTAATATTTTACATTATAATATTGCATAATAATACATTTATTTTTAAAATTAATGTGTTAAATTTAATTTGAGATTAATATCTAAATTTTTTTTATGAAAATTATGTACAATTATATATTGTATTATATTGTATATATGTATTATATTGTATATATTATACAATAGTATTATATTACAATAGTGTATATATATATATACTGATATATATATATATATATATATATATATCAGTTATAATGACCATCTGATAATTATCTCAAAAAAATATATAATAAAAAAAAATCTAATGGAAAAAAATTAATTATAAGAAATTGAAATTCAAAAGAAGAATATAAGATTGATATGAGAAATGCAAACTTAAGAATAAAATTTAAAAAAAATTATATATTTTAATTATCGAAAAAAATATATATATATATAAAATATATAAATATATATGCAAGTTTAATTATAAGTGAATATTCAAAGGAGTTATAAAAAAAGCAACTTGTATAAAAAAATGCATTTCTATTTCTATTATTTTCTTCTAATTCTCAAGTTATCTAGAATTGCTTGTTTTTCATTTAAGCTGGTTAATCAAGTTTTTATATTAATTCATTTCTTGCTTTATTTTAATCATTTTTATAATTAGAAAGTATTTTGTTACATACAATTTCATAATTTATAGATTAACTATACTTACTATATATATATATTATATAGGATTTTATTGCTTATTTATTTTATCATTTACAATTTTGTAATAAAACTGTAATTATTTGATTACAGTGACAGACTATGTATTTTTAACTAAAAAAAAGAGAAAAAAGAAAAAGAAAGAAAGGAATATCCATAAACAACATCACAAGTAATCAATATCAAATTTTCGATTAATTTTTTTTATTTCGAATTTATTTTGCATTGAATTAAAGAAAATAATAAATTCAAAAGATTTCTATTTGACCTTGTCTAGTGAATCATTCAATGTGCTATATTCTTTTTAAGCTGGTTAATATGTTTGGATCATATCGTCAGTCACGAAAAGTCTTCTGAGATATACAATGAAACTTTTCATTCTAAATAAAATAGTTTCTTTGATTTTTTAAAATAAGAATACACAATTTTATTCAAAATGAGTTATTTCTAATTTAAAAAATTAGAAAGAAAACAAAAAAAATATTTGTATTTAATTTTATATAAAAATTAAAAATTGTAAATTATAAATGTTCTTATAAATTCTTTAAAAAATCAAAGAAATATTACAAATTTTATAATTAATAATATTACTTACAAAAAAATTCAATGATAATGAAAATATCGATTATTACTATAAATATCGTAAAATATAATAGAAAGGAAATATATATTTACAGATTTATTGGCGAAGAAGCTAGTTCACTTGGTAGTAAAATAGAACTTACAGAAGCACCGACATGGATCATTGATCCAATCGATGGCACGATGAATTTCGTGCACGGTTTGCCCCATACTTGTATATCAATCGCATTGCTTATTAATAAAATTATTGAAATTGGTATAGTTTATAATCCAATTTTGGATCAACTTTTTACTGCTCGTAAGGGTCAAGGTGCATTCTTAAATGGACGTCCTCTTCATGTTTCTGGACAGAAAGGTATAAAAAATTCATAATCTTGCATTATAAATATTTAGAAATCATTTGTAATCTTATGTCTTAAGAAAAATGAATTAAAAATATGTTTGATTATTTTAAATATTTTAATTTATATTTATTCTGTTATAAAAATATATTTTTAAAATTATTATTGAACTAAATATTTTTTCGTAGAATTACGTAAAGCTCTTATAATGATGGAAATGGGTACAAGTAGAGATCCAGAGAAAATGAAAATTGTATTGGAAAATGCGAATATTCTTGCTCCACACGTTCATGGGTAAGATACACTTTTAGTTATAATTTTTTTTTTTTTTAATTTAAATTTATAATTTTGTTTTTAATGTTATATTACTTTATATTAGAATACGAGCTCTGGGATCTGCGGCTTTAAACATGTGTATGGTTGCTTTGGGTGGAGCGGATATTTCTTTCGAATTTGGTATTCATGCATGGGATGTTGCAGCTGGTGATATCATTGTAAGAGAAGCTGGTGGAGTATGCATAGATCCAGCAGGTAATATTTTTAATATTTATAAATGAATAATTTATATTTTTTAAAATTATTTCAAAATATTTTTTTTTTGAAATTAGAATATTCATTAAGGAAATCTTCGTTTATTTTTAATATTAAATATTATTTAATTCAAATAATATATTAAAACTTATAGTTATTGAAATTCTTATAATTTTGTTTTTTTTCTCTATATGTGTATTTTATTTTTAGGTGGACCGTTTGATGTCATGAGCAGAAGAGTTTTATGTGCGTCAACAATGGAATTAGCACAAAAATTAGCTAAAGTATTAGTTCAGTATTATCCCGAACGAGATTAAAAATTATCAAATACGTATATAGAAAATTATAAAAAGATATCTTCAGAAAGAGGCCTTGTTAAATGCATGAATTTCATACATGTTGATGTATATAAAAATCTATATTTCTTTTTTTTTAATAAGATTTAATTTCGATAATAATATCAATCAATATCGATCAATAATAAATCCTGATGTTCTTATTTTTGAGAACATTAAAGGTTTATAAATCAAAATGAATACAAATATTCGAGAAATTATATTTATTAAGTTATTTACATGAAAATTTTAATAAAATTCACAATGTATAGAAAATACTTTTAAATTTATATTATAAAGATAGATTTATATTTATATTATAATACACATTCATGTGTGACAAGTAATAACGATATTATATAATCAGAGAATTTATACATATATATATAAATTCTTCGATACATATATATGTATATATATATATATATATGTAATATGATTTTTATTAAAATATAATGTGAAATAAATTTAACTGACATAAAAATATGTGATTTATTCCATATTATTTTATATACTTTATAAGTAATTTATTAGTTGCATTGAAATTATATTTCCTTTTTAATAATTTGGAAGCTGAAAACCGTAATATTGTTATTATGCTTATTTAATATTATCTATATTTTAGATGATAATTTTCAAAAATTTACTCATTTTTTATGCACGTATAAATACTTTACCTTTAAATACTTACAGTTTCACTGAAATTTCAATGAAATTTCATGACAAACCTTCCTGTTGATATAAATCTATATTACATATTTGGCGATCCTTTCTGCGATAGGCATCATTTTAATACAGTTGTCAAGCTGCGTGCGGTCGAGAGAATCTCGCCCCGTTTTCCTTCATCTCTTCCATTGCCTCCCCTCCACACAGGGAGGGCTACAAGTGAAACATTACCAAATAGCCAATTAGAAAACTATGAATTAGTTTAAGTTTTTTGTGTATTCATTTTATTTCTGTATTGAAATATATCCATAACATCTAGTTTCCCCTTTTTATTATTTGAATTTAGCAATATCTTTTTTCAATGCCTCTTATTATCAGAAAAAATTAAAATATTTTATTAATTTTTTAATATTTTAATCTAACTTATCATTCATCATTATTAAAAATATAATTTTGTAGTTATATATTAAAATATCGATTTAATAATTTATATTATATCATTTAAATATAATAAAATATAGTAAAATAAAATTGATTTTTATAAATAGTATAAGGCATAAAAGATAATTAGAACAAATTGATTTTATTTTACGATACAATTATGCACGTTTTGATTTGTAATATTGCTTAATAATTAACAGATATACTAAATATCCCATAAGGCAGTCCCCCATGAATACCTTGCAACGGGATCAGCGTTAAAAGCCCATGAAAGGTCCACCCTCACTTATTGATGCTTTGAATCGAAGACTCATATCTGAAACATAAGCAATCTCGTACAATATTGTCATGTAAAAATTACACATTCCATGAACCATTCAAACAGCATTGACGTTCTGTCGTAAATTATAAATAAATAATGCAATATAAAATGAAGGATAAAAATAAAAATTTACAAAGCTAACGATAAAATCGCAAACTATATAAATCTGTTGAAATAAATATGTTTTATATTTATGTGTTAATATTAAGCATTAAACAATTTTCATTCTATGTAATGCAATTCAATATTCTATTTTTAAAAAACAAATTTTAGATAAAGTGTAAAAAAGCAAATTTCAATATATCTAATATTAAGTCATTAAAAAATTAATTAACTCTATTAAAATATAGAAATATAAATAGAATTTATATATTATAATCATCTTTTTAAAAAATATATTTTCAATCCTTATTTTCTTAAAAAACTCTTCAAACTCTGTTGAGTCCCAATCAGCATTAGCTATATGCTGCCAATCAAGCACGAACAAATCCAATATATCTCGAAGAAAATGTATCGAATTTAATAAATATTTTTTTATCAATAAAAAATTATATCGAATTATATTATAAATATGAATGAATAAATAAATAAATATTAATGAAAAGATAAATAATATTATATAAATATGATAGATAATATAAATATAAATAGATAAATAATATGTAACATACTTTTTTTGAAATATATTACTTGGAGTTGTTTGAATTCGCTTGATGGTACATAGCTAATACTACTGTATATGATATATTCATTTAAAAACTTCTAATATAAATATCTCAAAATTAATTACATTTTCAAAAAAATGTCTTATATAATATATATAATATATAAGTATATATATATAATATATAAGTATATATATATAATATATAAGTATATATATATATATATATATATATATATATATATATATATATATATATATTATTATTATTATTATTATTATTATTATTATTATTATTATTTTATATTTTTTTTACATCAATGTTTCAATAAATGCAAACTGTCAGATTTGAAAATAATTATTTGTGATACTAACAATTGATGATGAAGTGTTAACAATATATTTTTTATCATTTCCTGAAATAACAATTTGTCTACCTATCGTTTCATTTCATATCGTTTATCTCATACGAGATAAAAAAGTAATGATTACAATTGATATTTTTTTTTTCTATATGTTATTTTATAATATATTGTTGATACGTACATATTTTTTGCATGAAAATAGCACGCGATTAAGATTGAAAATATAAAATACAGGGCTTGTTTCTCATTCTGATAAGCATGCGTCGTTTTATTTCAACAACCTAATTACTATACAATTTGTTTTTTCTTTTTCAATACAAGTTTCCTTGTTATTAAACTTTGATGCCGATTTGCACAATGGCACAGAAGAATAAAATGTTCGTGATTTATACGATCAAATTCGTAGAGGTTTTACAATTTCGCAAACACGGGATTCTTCTTCGCGAATTAACGCATTATCATTTATTTGTAATATAATAATTTATTATGAATTGTTATTTGTAAAGAAAATCGCGCTTTAAAATTCGAAAAATTGATGAAAAGAAAAATATTATGTACCACCATTATGCTAAGTATCGATGGCCAGTTCATGCTGAAAGAGGCGGTCACTTTTCCCAGTTTTTCATTTTCGTCCACGGAAGAATATTGTATACCGCATATATTCATCAAGCCTCTTCCTCTAGTATTCATCGTGTTGGATTTATTACTTTATAACTGCTGTGCACAAAGAAAGAAAAGAAATAAACCAAATCGTGGTTTTCATTTCAAACAAATTTACACGAAAAAATCATTACGCTCTCTGATACAGTACACTGTAGAATACAAACATGTTGTTTTTACAATCGTCGATAAATGCATCAATGGCGAACTCCAATATTTTATGCATCATTTTTATGTAGTGGTTTTTAATTAATATAAAGATATTGCACTCTATTGACCTGCAATAGTTATCATTAATTAAATAATACAGTTCAGATTGATAGAGTACAATATGTGATTCAAATAATTTTTCGTTCCTCCCATTATATGTTTTCCTGTTTTATTCAGATGGAGTAAGTGAAATGTAAAATTTTGCACCGCCTCTTTCTGCTGAAACGGATATAGGACATTCGATATAAATAGACACCGCATTATGTTAGTAATGCTTTTATGATATACAACGAATCGTTAGCGGTGTCGTTTCAAACATTCTTTTTGCAAAATTACGTCAAATTCTCCGATGTGGATGGACCCCGGACAGGGTTACCTAAATTTTTTCTTGTATAAATGGATGTGCCAGGGCATGATTCACAGTGATTCTTTTTCCTGCATCCAACATCAATGTTCGTTCCAAAAGATCCTTAAGCTGTCCAACTTTCCGACTTTGTTCTGGTGGCAAAGAATTTCCACCTAATTCTGCGCTTAGATCACGAGTAGCAGATAAAGTAGACATAACTACAACTTTTTCCTAAAAATTTATTATATATTAACAGTATTATCATTTATATATTTTTTTATTAATATACATCTTATTATTAAATCACTTACCGCACAGCAAAACATCAAGATTGGAAAGAACAGTAGAAAGACGACTTACCCGCTCGGTGACTTTATCAACTTCATGATATAGGAAATTGCAGTTAGAGTCAAAATGTAGATCCTTGAATGAGCCTTTCCTAATCAGTTTATTAGGCATTTTGCCTTTCAAGTCCATGAAGAATTTCAACATTTGGTTGTTTGTTTTGCCCGAGAACATTATTTTTCCCGTATATAATTCATATATGGTACATCCCACAGACCACATATCAATGCCGAAATCATATGGTATACCAAGAACTAGAAAATGTCAATGTTAATTATATGACACATAATAATTGTTATTAAATCTTTATGGAGATCTCTCCAATATAGGTTTGATCAATTTGAGCTGCCACACAGAAACATTATTAAAGTTTCAAAAAATAATGTAATAATAATTAACATAATGTATTCATACGAAATTTTGACCATTAGTATACGATTCTAGATGTATGGTATTTTCAAATTGTTTATATCATATTTTAAAGAACATGATTAAAAACTGGTTTAATAAATAAGCTAATAAATAAAAATCAATTTGTTGAATTATAATATGAATTTTAAATTTAGAAAAATTAATTAAAATATAAAATTATAAATAAGAGATTAATAAAATACATAAATATATAAATTATTACCAAAAAAAAAAATAATCAATTACTTACTAATTTCAGGTGCTCGATAAAATCTTGATACCAAATATGGTGTTATCTCATTCTCATGAGCATGAGATGCTGACCCAAAATCGCATAATTTCAGTACTAGCTTGCTTTCACTGACTAGAATATTATCTGGTTTGATGTCAGCATGCAAAATATTTGCACGTTTTAATAATTTGAGTGCAAGGAAAAGTTGCTGCGTATATGATCTTACCGCTTTAACATGTAAACCAACGTCTTTTCCATATTTTTTTAAAACCTCGATAAATTTGTTTATATAATGAATGATAATATATAATAAATCAATATGTAACATAATAAACAATATATGTATATATTTACCTCTCTTAAATTCATGGCTAAAGGTTCAAAAAC